GGATCTTAGGTAAAAAGCTATTAAAAATCAGGCCAGATTTCAGGAAGTGGTTTAGGGCACTTGGCCATCTCCAAAACAATATTTCTGAATCAGACTCTTCAAAGGGCTTGAAAAATGTAGATTTCTGAGCTCCCAGTCAGAACAACAGAATCAGAACCTCTAGGGCTGTGGTCAGAACCTGTTTGCCTCAAGAGGATTGTTATGCACCTTTCATTAGAATACCACTTAAGAGGTCTAAAACGTGACAACTGCCTCTATTTTTCCCTTCCACAATGTCTTATACAGACTACATAAGCCAAAATTATCAAGTGTTTCCTTGATAGGTTTAAAAAGTCTGTAAAAGACAGCATCCTGATGGCTTTGAAATTAGACTTTCTTTGCATTGGCTGGGGAAGGAAAGCAAGAAGTAAAGGAGAGCTCTGCATCTGCTGACATCCTTTCTCCTTCCCCCTAAAACTCAACCAAGTGTGGCCACTCTGTTTCACTTCCTCCTAGGACTGGCTATGGTCAAAAAAGAAACCTGCAATTTTCACAATTAATAGTTGAAAAAATGTGTGTAAGGATTAGAACACTCATCTAAACCTAATCCTCATTAAAATTAGAAAAAAAAGAGTACTAATCACCAATCTCATAATTTGTAGAAACTATTAAAAAGAGATTATTGATTCAAGACAGTTTGATGAATGCTAATGAGGAGAGATAACAAATTGAATAAATTAGACAGAAGTAAGCATATGGGACATATATAAAGAAGCGTTGTACCAACACAGCACAATGGTAAAGGCTGAGAACAGGGCCACAGGTGCCAAAGTGCCTGGGTTCAAATTAAAGCTAGACCTCCTAAATCAGTGACCTTGACTTTACTGTTACAGTACTCTCATCTCTACATTGGGATGATAATGGTACCTCCTTCATCAGGTTATTGTGAGGACCAAATGAGCAAACAGATACAAAGTGTTTGCAACAGTAACTGGTGCATTTTGTGTTTGTGATAAAAGTAAACATCTTTTTATAAATTAAAATGATCCCTAAAGGTTGCATTGCCTAAACACGGTTTATAGCCTCAAAGATATTTCTATAAAATGAGATGTAACAGAGAATATAAACATTTTTATGCCTATGTATAGATACATTGTTAGCATAACTGAAAAGTCATCTTCTCAATATCCTTTGTATTGCTCAGATTCTTTGATTGCCTCCTGTATTTTCCTCTTAAAACAGAGATAAAGGAGTGATCAATAATAAAGGGAATAAGAGTCCCAGACTTCTTTTTTTGTATCTCCAAGTTCCTGATATAAATAGTTAAAATTGTAGACCTCAAATTATTTATCACTGTAAAGCTTCAAAAGTACACCCACAATTTATACATAGTACGACTATTTGAAATTGTACAATTCAATTATTAAAAAAAAAAAACACAAAGAAATGCCAAATTAAAAGCAATGCTATGTTGCTTACCTATGTATCTGTTAAGTACTAGGTTTCAAAAAAAATGTTTATTGTCTGAATTCCTTTTCAACATCCTTTGGAAAAAAGCCTAAAACAATATATTACAATTTCTAAAAGACTATCTTTCTCAGATCTATCAACATTAGCAGTCTACACTTCATCAACCACCTTCTCCAATGAGAAGGTGAATTTTTACTGCCAGAAGAAAATCTAATGATTATTTATTCCAATAGTTTGCAAACACTATTTTTTCTGAAGAAAAGGTTTCTAATGTTAGATTGATACTTTGTATTAAAACAGTCACCATATAACACTTCAGAAATCAGATACACACTTAAAAACTTTTACTTGATTTATCTAACTCTTATTTTAGGATCTCTGTTACCAAATTAGCCTTATAATTTTATAGTTCAAAGGCAAATTTCAGAAAATTATAATTAGCACTAATAGTATTTCTACAATTCTGACCGTATTATCAAATTCATGGGACTATAAAGTGATAATCCATTCTGTAACAGTCAATAATGACAGCTCCAGATTTCTTAGTACTCGAATGCAACACTAACGTGACTTAGAGTATGGTAGAGTTTCCTTTACTTGAATCAGGCTCCTGTTCTTCACACTGGTATTATGATAATTGTTACCATATCAGGGGAGATCATTTAATTACTATTTTCTCTTTAAATTTATGCACTGTCACTTTCTACTTATACTTCAAGATCTCATTGTAATGGACATAATTATTATGATACTTGGAAAAGTATTCATTTTAATATTTATTGAGTGTTATCTTCAAGGGATTATGTTCAACTTTTTAAAAACAATTTTTTAAGTTGAGCAAAGTTAGGAACTAACCTCTATTTAGATGAAGTTTTATATTTAGAAGTTGACATTTTAATTTAAATACCAAACATGATAACATATCATGAAAAAGGTCACACTGGCAAAAGGAAAACGCAACAAATTTTACATGTGCTAGCTATTTGAAAATTTTGGATGTAAATAGCTGAAAGTCATTATTGTTATATTTATTATTTTTAATGATATTAGATGTAACTGCTCAAAATGTCTTTATTTTCTTATTTCAACAAAGACTGGCGATATATTTTGATATATGAGATCTAGTGTGCAAGCTTCAACTTCGATTAAATACGGCAAGTTTACACAAAGCCAAGTGTATAAAAGGGGATCTTTTAAAAAAAACTTTATTTGAGAAAGGAAGAGACTTATAACAGAAGGCAAGAAGGGAAACATACAAACAATATATTTACAACACAAAACAGGAGATCACCTTCAAGGGTGTAAATTATAATAAATACAGTAGATTTTAAAAGAGACATTTATCAATTAATTCTAAGATTATTTAAGTCCAGCTTTCCTTTTCACTGGTTCCAGGTAGTTTCTTGATTAAATTCAAAGACTATCAAATTCAAACAATTAACGTCCACCAACTGTACTGATGAAGCTCTCTCAAATGACATTATAAAAAATAGTTTTTTTGTTTGTGATTACATATCTTTGAAGTATTATACAAAAGTCTGCTCAGCCACATGTTCCTCCCCAAATAAAATGTATTTTAAAAGATGCACTATCCCTTTTTTATGAGATTGAAAAAAGACTTTGAAGAAAATGAATATTTATGAGATGGAAAAAATATACAATTTTATCTTAGGCATGCCATATTTTTAATGCAAAACAACTGACAAAAAGTCATTTTAATATGAAGGAATATACTAACCAAAATATGTTGGTTATAGGGAGTGTTCCTATTATAGCTATTTGTCAAATTATCAGAAGGACTTTCATTATATGGAAAAGTTTATACTTTCTAACTTCTAGTTATGTTAATTTAATCTGAATGGAGACTTTTTAAAAAAGGATAATGTATCTTTAGCAGTAACATTTTTAAAGAAATATTTTTAAATGTCACAGCAAAATGTAAACAACACGTGCCGATAACATACAGTTGAACAATGTCTACATTTGGCAAAACTGCTGTATCTCCTTTGAAATAGGATACTACACCTTGAAATACCTCGGATTTAGAAATATAAATATTTTAATAAAAAAAACCTCACAAAGATTCTAGGTCAATTTGGATTATCCATATTAAAGGGGTCTTAATACAACGAACCTTTAGCTAGCTTAACAAAAGTAAACCTATAAAACAAGGTAAACATATCAAAAGGGAATATGAAGGAAATGTTTCAGTGAAAAGCTTCCGTAACAATTTCCCTACTTGTGGTGTTATTTTCTTAAACAATAAATCAATTCATAGAGTGCCCTTTAAAAACAGAAAGAGTAAAACACTATCCTCAGATTTTTTTTTTCCTACATTCCTCAGTACATGAATCACTTGGACTTCCTGTTTCCACAAGGCATTTCCTGTTCAGCCTCACAGAATCACTTTACTGTAGGAGAACAGCAGGAACCTGACAAAGAACCGACTTGAATAAACAGTGTCTTCTGTTGCCTTCAAAGTTGTTTGTATTTTATAGCATCAAAGGACATAGTCCTTCTGAAGGTGCATTATGTACAAGTAAATTCTTTTGTTAAACCTATCTTGCCTAATTGTTATTTGCCAGAATGTTATGGTATATGCTTGTGTCATTGTGGAATTATACTTAAGAGATTCTAGTGATAATATAAAATATGACACATCTTCTTCTTTTAAAAGTGATTTTGACATGATATCAGATAATATCCTGTTACTGTGTTTTTTGTCATTGTAGATACAGTACTGTATCTGATTGGACCATAATGCTGCACATAACTTCTCACCAACATTTGCATCTGCTTCATTTGCTCTTTTTTGATAGACAATGTCATCAAATTACACAAAATAAAAATAAAATGAGCAGTGCTATGTGAGACATAATCTAATATATAAAGTAGTGCTGCAATTTGCATCTATATATTTAAAACCATCTGTATTTTTAATATGTTCAATTGCAACCTACACAATAATCTAGGACTACTAGCATGGAAACCAGAACATTTCTACTTAACTAAAAAAAGAGAGGAAGGAAGGGGCAGACTACTTTTAACAGTGTTCAAGACTATAGTATGATACAATATGTACAGTGATGTGAAAATTGAATCCTACATGTTCCAAAAAAATCAAAAACTAATTGAATGCTTCATTGATCAGACTGGGAGACTATCCAGCAGTCACTGATCTCAACACATAAACTAAAAATAACAGTGAATTAGTTTTCCTTGAAGTAATTGGTGTAGCAGGCTTTGGTATAAATTTAAAGCCTATTAATTGCTTGGATATTATGTATCATAATTTTAGTGTAACAGGTATTTCCTTACCAGTGGATTTTCAACAAAACCCTGATATCTACATAGAGATCAGTAATATAGAGAGACCTCTATATAGATACATACACATATCTGCATTAGTTCGAATCCTTAAACACTGAACTCAAATCATCCAGAAGTATAAACTGATAGGAAATCATATCCATTTACTAAAACCGTAATGCATTTCATGTTCAGATAATGACTTTAATTACAAATCCTGGAGCTAAATCTTTGCCTATTACCTGTTGCATAAAAGCAGCCTGCTCCCCAGATTCCATTTCCTGGATCTGAGCATCTTCATCACTGTCCACTGGTTCCTCCTTGACCTTCACAGCCCCAACTTGTCCCACTGTGTCATCCACACAAGCACTGCTGTCGCTCCTAGTGCTGTTGCCACTAGAGGGCGCTCTGTCTTCCTGCATCGCTTGGTCCCCCTGAAGCTCTTCCTCTGCTTCCTCAAGGTGACTGCCTGGTTGCTTCAGTTGTTCAATAGATTTCGAAAGCAGCTAGAAGAGAGTGTTCAGGAGTTCAAAATTCAATAGTTCTTGAAGGTAACAGAGAAGAAAATCACACTTTGATTTCTAATAACTCACACTGTGATTTCTAATCATTGAACATAAATTTCAGAATGAACATGGAGGCAACAAGCTTCCTCAGTAATACTAAATCTGAAGTAGTATCATCATTCCATATTGTACGTCTGCTAGGCAGGGAATAAGGTCTTTAAGTGTTGTTGTTGTTGTTGTTTTTTCCTTAATGGATCACTCTTTAATGCAATTAGAACATGGTGTAGAAAAAGTTAAATAAACTTATCCATGGAAATCCTGAAACTTTCAAAAGGACAGGTTTTGAAAGTTGAACCTGGGAATAATACTATTCTCAAAAGATAAAAGGGGGTAATAAAAAAGAATCGTCAATATCATTTTTCAACAAATGTTAAATGCTATAAAAGCCAGAATATTAATGCTCATAGTCTTTGTCTATCTAATTTTCTTGTACCTATACAGAGTAATCATAGCCAAATGATAAAGCACCTTCTTATATATATTGTAGGACAGAGAAATACTCATTTTGATATTCTGGACTTTAAAAAAGTATATGATTTTTTAAAAAATTTAAAAAAATGTTTTATAACAGACTCAATAGAAATTAAATAATAGAAAATAATAAGAAAATTACTTAATTTAAAAAAATTATTTATTTATTTTCTAAATTAGATTGAACTCAAGCTTCAGAAGTCAATCAATTAACTGCTCATTAATTTTTAAAGTTAACTGACAATATGCCTAACTTAAACAATAGCAAATATCGTAAGATGAAAGCTCAATAAATGGGGAAAAAGTTTCAAGATTATTCACCTTACATTGGCCAGTTGTTTTATTTCACAATGCCCTGTGGACTAAATCAACTTTAGATCTTAAATTGTGTTTTTAGGAGTTTTTGGTTTTCTGCTAACTCAGTGTCTATGTAAGCAACATGCCAATTACTGTAATAACTAGCAGCACACTTACGATACTACCACTATAAACATGAATGCAGATTTTTATTTGTCAAATTCATGCTTACCTCCTACTCACACATAATCACAAAATACGTGCTTTAAAATGTGATACTTAAGTACTCAGACTTTGACGGACACCTCAGCATCTTTAGGCTTACAGACTTTTCTGCAGTCCACACAACCTCAAATGGCCCTGAACACAGTAACAAAGCCCTTCACTTTCACTCCAGGTAGATTTATTAGGAATTTTCATTCATTTTTCCAACAAATATTTACTGAGTGCGAACTATGGTCAAGACACCATGCTAAGCATTAGAAAAACAGCCACTGCTCTGCCCTCATGGAGCTTATAGTGAGTGTCTTAGAAAGGCATCAGATACTTATTCTCATTTTCAAGTGTGCTAAATGCTTTGAAGAAAGAAACACAAGGTGTTATAAGAGCATATAGTGCTTGGCATAGCAGTGGAAATGGGGATTGTTAAGAACATCAGGTTGAGGAAATGTTATGTTTAGGTTTAGACACAAAGGATGAAGGATAGAAAGGAGTTAGTTACTTGTGAGAGGGGTGGGAAACGGGTAGAAATAAGAGTGGAAAGCATTTCTGGTAGAAGGCAGGGTGTGTGGGTATCTTGGATTGGAAAAGGAGACCAGTGCATCTAAGTCACCAAAAGGCTAGTGAAGTTTGAGAAGCAGAGTAAAGTGCTGAAAGATACAGTTAAAGAGCATGATACAATTTATAATATATTTTGGTGAAGAGTAAGAATCGAGAGAAATAAAATATAACTTAGGAAAAACACATGTAAGACCTAAATATCATCAAACATAAATCAGATATGATCAAGCTAAGAAAACATATATATCAAACAAAACTCATATCAAAATGAAGAAATTTGAATATGAATTTTCTTTGTGCCTACCATCTAACAGCCACTGTTACCGGGCAGTCAGGAGAGGGAGGACATTCATTTTGTAGTGGTTTAGATGATTTTAAGTATATTTTAGGAAACTATTTACAGGACTTTTATCCCAATTCTGAGTACTAATAAGCTCTTCTTGTCTTTAATACATAATACTTTGGACACTGCAGAGATTCTGGAGAAAAAAGACAATATAATCATCCTAAATTTTGACTACAAAGCTGTAGGATCCTGTTTAATTAGCTGTTTAAGAGAGAATATGCAACAAGCAAGGTATTAAAGAAAAATTCCTAGTTTTGGCTGGGATGTAAAGAATAATGACACTGGGTAAGAAATTTCCATTCATTATTCAGAGGGAGAGAGAAACTATCAGTCAATGCTGCAACCCTTATACCTCAGACTACAAATAAGGGCAGGTGAAGGGAGCTTGTGGGAAGAAGGGATTTATCTGAGAAAAGCTATTAGCCATGTGAAGGAGGCTGCAGGAGCCCATCAGAGAAACTATCTGTAAGAAGACTGGACAAATGCTCACTGAGCTGTAGAAACTCTCTCTCACTGACGTAGCATAGCTGAAAAGTTAATGGGAAACTGCTCAGTACAGCTAGTGGACCAATGATACTAAGGGGTCAAGTAGATACTTAGAGAGGTGTTCAAAAGATCTGCCAATAAGTGCCTCTTGAGGATAGCAGAAGAACTATATGGGATGTGTGGTCATGGAATAGGAACTGAGTGCTGGATAAAAGGTAAGCCAGAGAACCAGTGTCCAGGAAATGCCATGTCAGAAGTCCCTGCTTACTGGGGAAGGTGGGGTGGGGGTGAGGGGACATGACTTTGAACCTTAGCTAGCTTCTGGATGTCTGACATTACAGGAAATAGTAACTAAGAGGAAGGCACAAATATCACCCACCAAGTAAAATGATTCTTCTGTTGTGATTCTTCCCCTTCCTATCCCTGGCTACATCATGGCCTCTCAGTGTCTTGACCTCCTAACCTCCAATGGTCTTGTCCTCCACTCTACCTCATTTCCCAACATTATGACCTTACTTAGTGAGTTCTGATCTTTATCAGTAACACTACATTCCTCTAAATCTCAATTTCAAACATCATTCCTTTCTTCTGGCTCATCCTCAGAATATTCTGATCACAAGCATTCCTCATTCTAGTGGGTTTTCCAAGCCACATTCTTGCTACACATTGTCCCCTTCATTTACTCACTTCCCTTCTTGCTGGACTAGGTTCCATACTTCATCATTAAAAACCACTCCTTTATATTACCATCAGTGCTCCATCAGTGCTCCTGCCCCTTTCAGTATGGGTTTTACTGGACAAATAAGACTTCTAACCTTGGTCAACACTAAATTTCTGCTAAACCCAAGTAGCTGAATAAGCTAGGAAACAAATTACTCTCATGCTGAGTGTTCTCCAAATTCATGACTACACCCTCCAATGAGGTCTCAGTGCCACCTGGCAACCCTATTCCACTTTTCTAGTTAATTTACTCTTACTGTTTCATACTACATCCCCTGCCTTCAAATCTCTAACATTCCCCCTTTTTCCTCACTCCCTGCTGACACCTTTGCGTCTCATTTCATTTAGAAAATGGAAGCATCAGAAGAGAAACAGCCTCCTGCTACCAGCACATTTATTAAGCAATCCCATCCCCCTCTCCTGCTGTTGCAGTGAATGAAATGTCTACACTCCTGTCTCAGTTAACTCCTTGCCTTATACCCTGGATCCCTTCCACTCCTGCAATTATCCACTCTGTCTTCCATCACACATATCCCCTCCCTGCTGAAATGTCCTCACTAGTATACTTTCAGCAATGTCATCCATCTTAAGTAAAACTTTCCTTGACCTCCTCCCCAACCCACACCATTCTATACCTCTCTTCACAATCAAACTCCTTGAGTTATCACTTTCCACTGTCTTCATTTCTCTATTCACATTCTCTTTAGAATCCAGCCAACTAGTCTTTCCTCCACACCATTTAACCAAAATCTCTTGTTAAGGTCAATAATGACTGCAGTGATGTCAAATCCAACAGCCATTTAAATATGATATTAATAGGTGGCAGCAAAGAGGATAAATTTTAGAAAGGGAAATAAGACAAAAATCATAGCAGTTTTGAAAATAAGAGATTGTTATTACTGTTGCAGCCAAAGACCAGACAAACTGAGTGTTAATTTACTAGAATATAACTTTCCATAATTAGCAAGTTAGAGAAAATCTCTAATACTAACATAACCCTGAATTTTCATGGAACCTATCATATGTACTTTTTTTTTTTTTTTTTTTGAGACAGAGTCTTGCTCTGTCACCAGGCTGGACTACAGTGGCATGATCTCAGCTCACTGCAAGCTCTGCTTTTTCCAAGAGCAGAATTCCTTCAAGGTTTGTAAAATAAATGTTTCTTGACATAAACAGTAACTTGTGAGTGGAAATCACATAGATATAAAATGCTGGACTTGAAAATCATCTAATAACATTCTTAAAAATGCTTATTTTTTTAAAGAAGGAATCACATGCCCCCAAAAGACAAGCTATCTCTAAGATTGTAAAATATGAATTTGTGAGTTTTAAAAAAAGAGTAGAAATTTTGAACTTTTTATACCTACCGTTCTACTCCATATTTTGCTCTGAAATAGCTATATATTCTGATGACAACTGGATTAATATAAACAATTCCAATCTCTCCCCTGAGCTCCAAACTTGCATAGTTAGCTGCTTACTTAACTTTCTTAAATCTAGAATATCTAATAGATACCATAAACATTAAATACCTCAAAGATAACCTTTATTCCCATCTAACCCAAATTGTATTATCACCCAATCATTCTCATTTGAGTAAACAGCTTTACCCAACTGCATGAGCCAAATATTGGGGATTTATCCTTGTTTCTATATCACTCATCTTTTTCATTTAATTTGTGAGCAAGCCCTGGCAATTCAACCTCCAAAAATAAAGCCTTTATCTTGACATGTTTCTCCATTTCCACTGCTACCACTGTGCTCCTATACCATCATTTTCACCCTAAACTACCCAAAGGCCCTACTCTGGGCTCCCTGATGGCCCTCTTGGCCTTCAACAGTACTATCTCTTACAGTAGCTCTAATAATTCTTTTTAACATATAATTTTAGTAACATTAACGCTTTGCTTAGAATCTACACTGAATTCCTGTTAATAAAATTCAAACCTCTAATTGTGGTCTACAGACTCTACAACCCGGTCCCAATGACTTACCTGATCTTGGGTAGGATCTTGTCTTCTCTTCTTCATATCCTCCAGCTACCCTGGCCTCTGTTTGCTCACCCACAAGGCCTGAGTCTATGCTGTACTCTCTCTACTCCTGCAAATCTTTACATGACTGACTGGCTCCTTCTTATCATATTTTACCTCTGTTTTTATCTCACTAATATATATTCTTTAGAGTCCTTATTGTCTAGCATATTGCTATCATTGTTTGCAATATGGTTATCTCCCTAACTATAATATAAATCTCATAGGGCATGAGCTTTATGTTTTTCATCATTTTATATCCCAGTACCTAAAACCTTACATGACACCTAGTTGGAGCTTCATAAATTTCTGGAAAAATGATTAATGCTTAGTAACAACGCTTTGACACTTTTCTCCTAAGTTATAAAACAAAATCAATGTCTACAGGAGCAATAACTACCCCTTTTTCATCTTCTCTAATATAAAATAAGCTCTTTGTAAAGATTCACAAAATATTTAAAAAAGACAAATTGGGCATCTGGAGCCAGTGTTGCAAAATATAAATGCCGAGAGGGAGTTAATCTACACTTGTTATTTTATTTTAGGAATCTAAGGCTTTTTTTGTTTGAACAGTCAAATTTGTCAGACTGGAAAATTTTTCAATTAACTTCAGCAAGGAAAATTTACAAATAAAAGTCAAAAAGAAATTCTTGCCTGCCAGATCTGAATTATTTTCTATATTTAAAATAAAAAGTTACTTAGTGCTATTTGTAAATTTCCGACTATTTACTAGGAAAGGGAAAGTTTGGAATTTGTTGTTTTCTATGTGTTTCTCAACTACAAATATGACCACTGCAAAGCTGGTATGGGCTAACCCTTTTCTAATTTGTACTGCCACTGAGTGCCTTCAGATGTAGCAAGGAGATGTCTGCTTACTCTCAGTGGGGTGGCAGGGTCTCTCTTTGGTTGAACATCTGGAGGTGATCCCCTAGCAAAGTCGAGCTGTTGCCTTGCTGGCTAGAAAACAGAAGACAAAACATCTGTGGGACAGATAAATGTGCAAGCCTGTGTGAATCTCTGCTGAGGCCTCATCTGTAAAACACACTGTGTGCCACTCGCCTGACACCAGGTGAGTTACTTTGGTGGGGAACCCAGCAGAGATGAAGAAGAGGGCAGCTGCACAGCTTCTCCTTTGCTTTTTGTCTGCTCGTACTCATCTGCCAGGCTGTCTCTCTATTTTCCATGCTACTGTACAACAATTGTGCCCATCACAAGAATGCCATGAGCAGTCTATAACCATTCTGGGTTTGTAACACACACCATGCACTTATATATACTCAAATAGATGTTCTGTGCATCAGATAGTATGGTAATTTATCCAAATTTTAAACATCTTCAAGGATTACAACTAAACTTCAATTATTATTATTTTTTTTTTAGAGGAGTTTCACTCTTGCACTCAGGTTGGAGTGCAATGGCGCGATCTTGGCTCACCTCCACCTCCGCCTCCTGGGTTCAGGCAATTCTCCTGCCTCAGCCTCCTGAGTAGCTGGGATTACAGGCTCGCGCCACCGTGCCCAGCTAATTTTTTGTATTTTTAGTAGAGACGGGGTTTCACCATGTTGACCAGGATGGTCTCAATCTCTTGACCTCGTGATCCACCCGCCTCGGCCTCCCAAAGTGCTGGGATTACAGGCGTGAGCCACCGCGCCCGGCCTAAACTTCAATTCTTATCAGTCCCTGCTCAGGTCATAATTATAGCAAATCCAAAATTTCAGTGTCTAACATTCCATGTTTAACATCATATATTCTATTGGCACAAATGAAAAATTCATCAAATAGTATTTAAAGACTATGTCACTAATCTTCACACGTTAGCACTTTAAGTTCATTTCTGTGTGAGTTACATTACTTGATATAAGTCTATAAGTCACTATAAGCATAAGTAATTTTAAATAAAATATGCTTAAATTCTGTAATTTTAATGTTTCCCACAGAAATCCTTTGCATCCCCACAAATATCTTTAGATACAAAATATCAATGTAAGAACAGGATCGTATACAGAGTAATCTGTTCTTGATAGACATCTGATTTTCTGACATTGTCAACACACCGTCAAATTCAAGTGTTTGAATATGGTTATTAAACTATGCAAAATGACCTTCAGTGCAACTCATCACTTGCTTACTTTGCCTCAGATTTTAAGACAGATTGTCCTTGGGGAATGGCAATAGCAAAAATTGTTGTTTTCCTTTTGTTTTTTTTCTTTTAAATACATGTAATATTCTTCCTTGGGAAAATAAAAGCTTTCCCTTAAGCTCCAAGGAAACTAGATTTAAAAATAATGATAAAATTCAGTCTCAATTCACAAATAGATTAGGTATGGACCAACTGTTCTCAAAAACAACATGCAGAGCTTGGAGGGCTTTCAAATTGAGAGGTCTACTTGGAGTAGAACTCCAACCTCAAGCCAAAATAATATTCCATGTCATTTCGCTTCTGTGCATTTTAAAGAAATAATCAGATGAACCAAAATTAACAAGAGAAGAAAGATTCTAAATATTGGTTCATTATGCATACAAATTGAAATCTAAAAGGAAAAATACCATTTCTAAGCCTTAGTAAAAAGGTTCAGAATTATCTAAGCACCAGGTGAATTTTTAATAAATACTGATTCGTCCTTTAACTCTAAATGATTGTCCAAAACCATGCCTCCAACTAATTTTTTTTTCCCTTGGCTCTCAAAACTTCCTAATATTTCAGTAACTTCAATAAGTGTTCCCTTTTGGGAAGGAAACCAAAGGTTTGTTCCAACTAGTTTGAGAACATTGCCCACTCATGTTTTCATTCTTCCAACATTTTTTTATTGAGCATTTACTATATGCCAGGCCTTGGGAAGAGAATGGTAAATCAAGCAAGATCCAAGCACACAGTAGGGGAGGCAGAAAATTAGCAACTGAAAAATGAAGTGATAGGGAATGATGGAGGAAGGTGAGCAGGTGAGTATTGGGTGGGCAATAAAAGCCCCCCTAAAGAGATGAGGTATGAGCTCAGACAGACCCCCAAAACAACATCAAGCCATGAGAAGACCTGGAGGTTGAGCTTTCCATACAAAACAGTGGCTGCTGCAACTCCTCGAGGTGAAATGAGATTCCACAAATATAGGAGAGGGGGCCAGTGTGGCTGGAGCTCAGAGAGTGAGGGAAGGGAGTAGGAGATGAAGGCAGAGGGAGGAGGCAAAAATCAGATCATTACATCCTTGCAGGCCAGTAAAAGTGTTTGGATTTTATCCTACAAACAAGAAGGAACAACTAGGGTATTTCAACCATAACATGATTTGGTTTGCATTTAGAAATGATCATTGTGGCTGCTATGGAAGACTGGATTTATGGAGGCAAAAGTAGAAATGGGAAGACTGAATTTTCAAAACATGCAATCTTCAGCAAGAATGTGGAATTCTTAAATAAGATTTCTTGGTGGGGGGGCAGGGGAGCAGTATTCTTAACTAGGACACAAATAAGCAGTTTACCTTTCTTTTATAGCACTGCATCATTTCATGTCCTTTAAAAATTACATAACAGTATTTTTTTCCCTGATAATTTGTAGGATCTTCAGTTGACATTACAGTTTCTGTTCAAGTTTTCCTCCTTTTCTGTTTAAGAGTAGAAAATAGAGGCACAGTGAGGAAAGGCATCTTGATTTCTTTGCTGATCATTGATGGTTTTGGAGTGGGTCTCAAAATAGACAAAATCTAAAACCAATGAATCACTCTCTCCCAACTCATAAACATCTCCATTCCCCACATTGACCAATTCCTTACTTTGGTAAACTGGAAAGCGGGGCAAGCCCTATTAAACACAGTGACCAACAAAGGAAACAATCAGCAAAATGAGAAGAAAACTCACAGGACAGGAGAAAATATTTGTGAATTACCCCTCTGACAAGGAATTAATAACCAGGATGTATGTGGAACTCAAACAACTCAGTAGGGAAAAAATCTAATAATCTGATTTTAAAATGGGCAAAAGATCTGAATGGCCACTTCTCAAAAGAAGACATATGAATGTCCAACACTGTATGAAAAAATGTTGAACATTATTAACCATCAGATAAATGAAAATCAAAATTACAATGAGACATCATCTCACCCCACTTAAAATGCTTTTATCCAAAAGATGGACAGTAATGAATGCAGGTGAGCAAGTGCAGAAAGGGGAACCCTCATACACCGTTGGTGGGAATGTAAATTAGTACAGCCACTATGGAGAACAGTCTAGAGCTTCCTCAAAAACCTAAAAATAGAACTACCATATGATCCAGCAATCCTACTGCTAGGTATATACCTAACAGAAAGGAAATCAGTGTATCAAAGAGATATCTGCACTCCCATGTTTGTCACAGCACTGCTCACAACAGCCAAGATTTGGAAGAATAGGAATATTGTGTAAGATTTCAGTAGTGCTTACCATGTTAACAAAGCACTTTCAGATACGTTCTCTCATGTAATCCTCACTATAAACCTTTAAAAATTGCCAATTATGGAATTATTAAACAAGGTTAAATATCTTGACCAATCTTGCAAAACAAATAATTGTGCAAGAACTCAGAAACGTCTCCTGAAAAATCTGTCAGGCATTATAGATTTGCAATTCACATGAGCTATGTATTTTATAGAATCATATTTGATTATAATGATCTGTTTACAGGTCTTTGAGCCACTTAAGGGAAAGAACATACCTTCTTTATTTTCATTTCCAGAATGAAGTATAATGGTTAATAGATAAGTCTTTGTGGAACATCATCAATTACTCCATGACTGGAGACTGTTGTAATAGTTTATATTGCTAGCTGATACAACTAGTTTAATAGCAAGAGAGTAGCAGTACATTTAGGGTAAGAGATCATAGCTCTGGATGCAATTCTGCCTGCAGGAAGGGGAGTACTCTAGACCAGATGACATTTCAGGGTCACTATAGTTCCTCAGATTTCATAAGTAATTAGAAGAACAACTGAAAAATACAGGAAAAGAAGAACTAAAACTAGAAACTTGCAAGCTACCAAAATACGTAAAAAAAGAGACTGCTACCCACTGGCAGTTTTCATGTCTACAAATCACTTAACTATATTAAAAATTCCTTTGCAAGACTTAATTTTTTCATTCTGTCACATGAAACTACTTGTCAAGGTTAGGAAACAACCAAATTATTTAGCTTCCCTTTCCCTTTGAACTGCCTAGAGTCAACATCAGTCCAACAACTCACGTGGTTTAATTTCCCAGATATTTTTCTTCCCCCTCTTTTCTTACCTCATAGTCATGTCCAACTATTGTTTTTCTCATTCAATAAAAGAGTCTCTGACTAGATTAACAGTGCAGAGTGAAAAGGAAAGGTCTAGGTCCCTTTCCTTGGTCTCCAAGTTATGAAAGCAGCACTGGGAATGTTTATGAATGCTGCACATTAATCCACTGAAATGGTCATTTAGTTTCTTTTCCAAACAGAGGATTTCATCCTCTTTCTGTATACAAGCCACTTTCTGTATATTATAAACCATCAACTTGTAATTACTTAGTGAAATACATCTTTATAAATTCCTTGTGTGATGATATAAGCTGGTATTGTGTAAATTGATTTTTGTGGAGACAATTACATATTTAAAAGAATCTATTTATCTTGGGCCAGTTATCTCAAAATAACATCGATTTAAGGGTAAAGTCAAAATTTCTTTTATAAACCTCTATAGATACATAAATAATCTAGGAAGCTTTTTACTGTTATAAAATTAAGACTGCCTTTCAATGCTTGCTAAAGTTTTTGGACATACTATCCATGTAAAGGGCAAAATGTAATCCTAAATTGGTGATTAAAAGATCCTGCATGGAAACAAGCTGTCAAATGAATGGAGAGAAATTAAACCTGACAATAGTAATGCCTACTTTCCTAAATGAAAGCCCAGTTCAAGTTTCTACTCATCCATTTTTCAAAACTTAAAACAAGGCATTTTCCAAACCACCCATAGA